GCAATAAGATCTCCCCGGAGCTGCCTCTTCTCCAGGCTGAGCAACCCCAACTCTCTCAGCCTTTCCTCATAGGAGAGGTGTTCCAGCCCTCTGGTCATTTTTGTGTGTAAAAAAGTAATTGATACTTCTAAGGTATTTAAAGGGTAATTTAAGGCCATGTGTGTAGCATCACACAATGTTCCTGGAGTATTTAACTATTGGAAGAGGACTTTTAAAGCTATTTTAAATTTTTTCCTATGTGTAACAAATCACTAGAGAATAACGAACTGTTAATGACATAGTTGTTCATTTTAAAAACCTTTAAATTTAGAATTCCTGTCTTACTGTTTAGGTCAGGGGAAATACACTATGCACCATAATGTCTTTCTTGTAATAGGTATATTAAACTTTAGTTGCAGTGTCTTGCCAATGTAAAACTTGCTGATGTAGTTACTGTTTTTAATAGATCATTGACCCGTCAATCAGACTCTGACCATTTCAGAGATAAAAAGCTAGGCTTTCATTGGCTATTATGAATAGAGCACCTTTCCACAATTTAAGAAATGGTGTAATAATTAACAGGTATAATGGATATGTGCGTTCAGGTTTCAGTTATATCTTTATGAGCTTTAGCTCCTGTTATCTTCAGTGTAGTTAACCCCCTGTCTACCCACAGATAGTTTAACTACAGTATAAAATTGGATTTGTTTTGTGGCAGTGGCATTTTGCTAATATGATAGGTTTTGTGCTCATTTTTTAAGGTCTGTAATAAGAGCTGTTCTTTCAGACTTTTTCTTTACAACAAGGGGTAGAACTTCACTAACAACTCATTAAATAAGTAATAATACTGTTCTAAAGAAGCATAGCAAAGATTCTTTAAACAATTTTGCATACAGAGAATTTACCCAAACTTTAGTTTTCTTTTGATTTACAGACTTAAATGATTAAAGTACTTATGATTCCTGGTACTGGAATTTGGTTTCTTTGACCTAAAGAGTTGCTCAGAAATTGCCAAATCAGATAATTTGATAGTGGACTCGTTAGGTGAACCAAGAAGTAGGCAGAGGTCACTTACCACTCCAAAGCTCTAAATATCTTAAGAAAAATCAAAATTTTAGGTTTTGAAAATATAAATGATATTTTAGTTGCAAAAATTCATTACATAAGATCAAGATGCAATTGCTTTGAAATAATATACTTGCACTGCAAAATATGAATCAGGAAAGAAAATCCAAGGTTTAGAGAAGTTACAGAAATGGAAGGTTAAGGAAAACTTTTTGAATTTATGTATAACTTTTATTAATTTTTAAACATGACAAAAAACAAAAGATAAAATACTACATAACTGGAAGTTTACCAAGGTATAGAAGTTATTTTTATTTTGAAAAGTGTTCTCCTATTAAAGTATTGCCGGCATCTTAATTAATGCTGTTAATCTGATTTCACCTGTTTCAGATGTGCTCTTATATTTATTCAGAACACATTTGTATAGCAGCTCACATGTTTAGTAAACTCATTTTTGTACTAGGAGTTGTCCCTATATGTATACAGTAGCAGATCTTGTGGCCTATGCATTTCTGATCCAAGAGTGGCTTACACTGAGACTCTGGAAGGCAATATTCCCTGTTCTTAACCTCATCCTCATAAACCTTCCAGTTATTTGTTCCTTTATTTTTAATAGTCTGTTCTTTCATTAATCACCTCATGCTGCAATGTACCCTTACTTCCTTAACCGGAAATATATATAACTATTTTTTTGCTATATTCTAATCCTTACACACATAGTACTTAATATTGTAGTGCAAGTAAAACTACCTAAAGCAAACCACAAAACTAACTAATCCATAACAAATGAAAATCATTAAACATAATTCTGCTATAATCTTTATCTTTCAATTTCTTTTTTTCCCTTATTTAAATCTAAAACCAAAACTCTTTTTTTGCCATAAGGATCTTATCCTAATGCAAGAAGAATTAATCCAGTTGAATCTCAAGGGTAAAAGTAAAAACAGTAAATAGATTTTATGAAGACCACAAGTATGCCAAGATAATTGTCTAACTCAGACTCTGCATAAAGAGTTTGCATGTATATATATACTGAGAAGAAAGTTTGGGGCTATTGGGATGCATTTAGATTTACATTTTGTTGTCATAGATTAGTAAAGCTTTTCATTAAAAATAATATAGGAGTGCTTGGGAATTAAAAACAAAGTCAATGTTTTTAATGCCAGGAGTAGACAGAATTACAGACAAAAAAACCCCATGCTTGAATATGATTCTTCAGTGATATTTTTCCTTCAAGTGTTAACTGATTAATTCATTGTTCAACCCTGATTATAGGAAGAATACATTTGAAACACAATATGGGATATCCTGGAAGTAGAGTGAAATACAACTGCATTTCTAGGATCTTAAGCTTACTTTTATACTGAACTTCAAGTATGGAAAAGGTATGTTTAGCCTATGAAATACATAGTTATCTAAAAGCTTTCCTTTGTTACTGTTTTCTGGTTTTAACCTATAAAGTGCAAAAATTTGCTCTAGTACAGTGTGTGAAGCCCTGCATTATATTTACATGAAGTAGTCTAGGACACTTGACAGTTTGGTTTTTGGTTTTTGTTTTTTTTTTTTTAATTTTGATTTTGAGTACTTTACAATATGGCATCTTAAGCACCAACTTTTCTAAGAATATAAAATCTCTGAAAGGTCTTGCAACTCCAGGTTGTAAGCTGGGCTCTAAACATACTGTTCTAATGATCTCATCTATTTAGCCACCAAATCACCCTTCCAGTGTCCTCAGAACTCATCAAGAACTGAAGTATTCAATGGGCTTATTTACAGTGTAGTTGAATCTCAGTTTTCCCTTATAAGAAAACTTAGAAGAACTGTTTGTTGTAAACTTACTCTGAGGGTATAGAAAGCAGGTAAGAAAATTATTTTGTCCTGAACATATTTTAGTTCACTTAAATTAAGATTTCTCTCTCCCTGAGACTTGATGCACAAATGCTTCAGAATTTTTGCAGAATTAGGAAAAGCCTCTGAAATCTCTTCCAGGTTAAAGACATGTAACAAGACAGTAAGATTGGAATAAGACAGTATCCTATACCTGTGACAAGTCTGTATTCAGCCCTTGTAGAAGAAGATAAAGATCGACGTGAAAGAGCTGCTCACTGTACCAAAGCCCAGTTTGGAAATGACTGATTATTTCATTAGTCTCTGCATGGTATGCAAGTTCTTTACAAATGGCATGGACTTGTGTCAGAATTCTGCTGTTCAACCTCTTTTGTACTATAGCACATATGTGGAAGAAATCTTTTGTAATTCATTTGAACCTGTTATTCACTTGAACCTCTTTATTAAGAAACCTTTATATTGTTATACTATAGAGTACCTAATTAAGAAAGCTACTCATCTGTAATGGCTGTAACCAAGGTAATAACAGATGACAAAAGCTACCAGTAGATTTATACATTTTCAAATGGAAGAAATTATTTAATCTCATCAGTTGGGTTACCCTTCTAACGTTAATTTGAAGTAGCGGTAACATTTTCTATTTGTCATAGGGGATCTGTTAGTGAAGCTGTTCTTACATCATGTATTGGGCAGCCTTTTATCTGTAAAACTTATTTTTAACACCACTTCTTTAGGGATTCAACCTTACTATCGCTTTGCTTTGTCTTTCCCTTCTTGCCTGATGCATTATTTTAGTGTCGAACTGTAAATTCTGTCTTTTTGGTTCTTTGTATATTACCATTCTTTAATTATATAACTTAAAACTTCCACAAGTATGGGAATTGTCCTTTAAAGGTTGCATTATTATGAGCCTAAACTTAAATGTACAACTGCAGAAGATTGGATACCCTGATCTTTTAAGTATTATTCATTTTGCAATGAGCATAAAACTGAGCGGTACCAGTTCCTGTGTTTTGTAGCTTCTTTGTATTATGACATGATATATCTAATTTTAGTGGTTGTATATTGTTTTTCCAGTTACACCTATAACATACCAGAGATCAGTGTTCCAGGATGTTTATAGTTTTTTCCATGTTACTATGAGTTTTATGAATGTGCAGATTTATCGACCCCTAGTGGGTTGTTAGGAAAACAGCTGTTAATTTAGTAAGTGCTAATGAAAAATTTAAATATTTTTCAATGCTGTATTTGTTTCAGTGCTCTTTTTTTCTGTTTGCAGCTGGATTAGCTCCTGAGTTTCATTTCTGGTGTTCTGTTTCCTACCTCTGCAGAATTGCCTGTTGCAGCAACTTCTATTAACAACATTCCCAAAACGTGTAGCTAGGTGTCTGCATTTTAATGAACACTTGTAGCTGTAGCTGAGTATTTTAAAAGTACAGTATAGCATAAATTTAGAAAAATAAAGGGTCTTTTGTGCTGTGTAAGGTGGGCTTATTTTTAATAAGCTAGGAAAAAGCTAGTAACTTCTTCATTAGTATGATACTATATAAATGAATTTTTCTAGCAAACTTTTAAACTAATTTTAAATAGCTCTAGTATTTTGAATCATTTAGTTGAAATTTTAATTTTCTGGGAGGTGAAATTATCTCCTGACCATGCTGTGAAAGTTTCTTACAGGCATTTTTTTCACATTAATTAAAATGAAGTGCTGAATAGTGAATTCACATTTGACTGTTTAATTAGCAATAATAAATGAAGATAAGTCTGCTCAATAATTAAACTTAAATTGAACTTCACTATAATTCTGCATCTGCTACATGTTTCCAAGTATCAGAATCAGAAATTAAGCCCTACTGTAAATAATTTATTTTTCTGTGCAAGTTTGACACAATAACTTCCACTTTTTATTTTGTACATTTAATTTTATAGGCTTTAAGTAGTAAAGTGGTGGTTTTACCAGTTAAATTATGAAACACTTCTTTGAACTTTAGGTATTTTTAAATTGTTAAGAAAAGACCAAATATAATTTTTGGCATTTACTAATATTTAGTGTTGTGTTTATTGCATAAACCATATTGTTTAAAGTCAAGCTTACACAGCAATCAAAAATGTCAAAAAGACCTCAAATTCATATTTTTGTGGGAGCACCCAGTATTCCAAGCCCACTGGAGGTGGTAGAGCAAAGTAGTTCAGCACCTGCTGCTGAAAAATGGAGAGAACTCCGCTGTTCATGTGATATACATAGCCTTTTTTCTGAGAAAATCAAAGGTGCTGACCAAGTAGTGTTTCAGGCAGAAAGCTCTATAGTCACAGCAGTTCCTACAAATGATGGCAGCTCTCAGCAGTCTAAACAGGGGAGATTAATGGTAGCAAAAGAATATTTGACATCTCTTGTACCTGTGGCAGTAACTTGTACCACCACACCTAAAAAGACTGAAAGTTTAATTTATTCTGATTGTCAAATATCGAAAGATCGATGCACGCATGCAAATGTAAATCAGGCTGCAGATCAACACCTTCCTCAAAAATGTGTGGCATCAGCTGGACAGGATAAACAATCACATGGCTGTTGTTCAGACCTCCCTGAAAGAAAAGCCAGTCATTTAGAAGTTAACAGCTCTGACATTTCTGATTTGGTTGCCAGTACTAAGCAGATTAGCATACATTTAAAGTCTGTGGGACAAGTTGTTCGATCAGGTCATAGAAGTGATCACCATGAACATCTAAGTAAATATCTGGATATGTTTTTCCCCCAAAATCAAGAGTCAAAACCGAAAGGAGAACCAGGTGATTGTTCAGACCTTGCAGTGTCAACTGATACTGAATTTCGTAGTATAATGACTTCAAGTCAGATGGCTGTTTTTGCACAGAATCAGAACGAGATGCAGAAAAGAATCATAAAACTATCGGAAACAGAAGTGGGCAAAAAAAAGGAAGAAAGGCAATATGATCACTTCCAACTTGATTCTTATGTTGGAACATGTCTTAATGTGGCTGAAAATGAATATAAGGAAGAGTATACAAGTTCCCTTGAACTTTTCAGTTCTGAGGGTGATGGGAAAAATGTTTGCTTTGAAGCTACAAAGCAAGAAGGAAATGCTCAGGAAGACACAGAGAATAATCTGTAAATGAAATCCATATTGAACCATTGAGCTCAGGAATATTGTGCTCTCAAGTAGACAGTTCTCAGAAGAGCTCTTCTAAAAGAGCCCGCAATTGTGAAGATTCCTTTCATATTTTTCACTCAGCATTTAAAAGACAGCTGAAATCAAAGAGAGCTAAACTGAATTTTTCTCCAGCTGGTCCTGGGATGAGAGTGGATCAAGAGAGGATGGCAGAGTTCAAGAAACTTCAAAAGAAACTGTCGCCACTTAAGAACTGCTGCTGCAAAAATGAAAAGTACAATGTTTTAGTCACAATAGTACATCCTTGTCATATCAAAGAAATACGGGTGAAGACTAGACCAAAATCTTCATGTAACGTTCCTGTAGCAACAATTGTAGTTATTGACCAGTCAGAAATTGAGAGGAAGGTGGTGCTGTGGCGTGGTGCTGCATTTTGGTCACTCACTGTGTTTCCTGGGGATATTGTACTGCTCACAGGTGAGAATTCCTTTATTTGCCTTTTTAAAATGTGGATCTTTAAAATGCCTGTTTAAAGTAGAACATTATGTAACCAGTAATTTGGAACTATGGCTAAGCATTTTTAAGTCTTTCTTACATCGTTCAACATCACTTTGAATTCTCAGTCCTCCTGCTGGTGGTACATCGACTGTCCCATGGAAGTTTGCCTGTCTCTTATGCATAGTCTTTGGTCTGAGGCACAGCAGTGCATTGGCATTACAGCAGTGCCATAGGTACAGCTGTATTCGGTAACCTGTCTGTGTTTTAAAACGGTTGTTCCTGAAAGGTAAAAGTGCTGTTACAAACCAGATGTACTAGTTATTTGATTTATAGACATTTTTGTAGTTCTCTGCTGTTGGACCAGCAGATGGACTGGAAAATTGTGATATGTTCAGTCTCAGGAGGAGAAACACTCTTCCTCCTAGGAAGGACTTTGTAGCTTAGCCCTAGCATCTTGAGGTGGATAGTGTTGTGAATTAGTAACTGATACAGACTGCAGAAATATAAAATGCTGTTTGCAGTTCACTTTCTTCATAGCATGTCAGCTAATAAAAAAGATTCCTCCTGAGAAATCCTTTGTACCGTTTAATACTTAATAGGAGCAAAACCTTCCCTCTTTAAGAGAACACGTCATGTAAGAGAATGCAGTACAATAAAAGCAATATTGCACCTAATTTAGGGCTGGAGTTGACCAGAATTTGATAGTGATCTCGCCATTTAGGTTTTGCAATATGCAAAAAATAACACAATATAAAATGGCTTGAATACTTCTACAGTTTAAGATACCCATTTCTCTTTAAGAGTTCTTTTAAATGCCTATAGGTAGGTGCAAAGGTAGATATTTTAAAGAGATGGAAGACAAGATTGAAGATATTGGGAGGCAGTCCTGAAGGGCAAAGGAGTCCAGGAAGGCTGGATGTTATTCAAGAAGGGAGTCTTAAAGGCGCAGGAGCAGGCCGTCCCCATGTGCCATAAGGCGAGCAGGTGGGGGAGAAGACTGGCCTGGCTGAACAGAGAGCTTTGGCTGGAACTCGGGGAAAAAAAAGGAGCTTACCACCTTTGGAAGAAGGGGCAGGCCACTCAGGACTACAAGGATGTTGTGAGGTTATGCAGGGAGAAGATTAGAAAGGTGAAGGCCTAGCTAGAACTTAAACTGGCCACCGCAGTTAAAGATAAGAAAAAATGTTTTTACAAATATATCAGCAGCAAAAGGAGGGCCAGGGAGAATCTCACTCCTTTGTTGGTTGCAGAGGGGGACATTGCCACAAAGGATGAGAAGAAGGCTGAGGTACTTAATGCCTTCTTTGCCTCAGTCTTTAATAGTCGGACTGGTCATCCTCGGGGTTTTCAGGCCCCTGAGCTGGGAGGTGGAGATAGGATGCAGAGTGAAGTCCCAGTTGTCGAAGAGGTGGCAGTCACTGATCTGCTCCTCCACCTGGATGCCCACAAGTCTATGGGGCCAGATGGGATCCACCCAAGGATACTGAGGGAGCTGGCAGAGGAGCTTGCC